TCAGAAGTTGCCGGCTGGGTCTTTCTGAATGTGGCTTGTTAACCAGCTGCAGCATTTCCCAGAGCGCTGGTGGACTCGGGTGTGAAATGCAGAGGCGGCTGCTGGTTGGGCCTGGAGTCTGGGGCAGAGGGAGTGCCCTCGGTGCACCTGTGAGGACCTGGGGCTCCGAGTCGGTACCTGGGAGCTGTGGGGCTCGGGGGCGGGACGTCCTTAGCCTCTGTGTGAGCACTGACTGAGATGAGGCACAGATACGTCTGTGCAGGGTGCCTGGCCCTTGCAGGAGTGTTGAGGGTTGTAGCTATAACCTGTCATGTGGCAGAAGGAAGAAGAATCTACCATAAGCGGCTGAGGGGATGCCCTCCCTGTGCCATGCGTCCCTGCAGCCTTGGCCTGGCAATCCTACAGGGAGCAAAATGTGCAAAGGGGCACCTGTGTGAGCCTGCGGGTCCATGGTGCCACCCGCCCCCATCTGCCCACACCACAGGACGGAGCCCTGGGTGAGGTGACCAGGCCCTTGCTGGTGCCAGGGGCTGGGTAGGAGGCAAGGGTCAAGCACGGTGGCTCTGTGGGCTGTGGACTCACGGACAGATGTGCTGCACGCCCACGCTCTGCTCTTAGCCCTGCCTCAGGTCTGTCCCGGCAGCAGCTGGGGGCGCCCTGCAGTCCTCCGCGTTTGTGGTTGGGGGCGGGCAGAGAGCATGGAGGAGATAACCAAGGGGATGGTCTGAGAGCTGCGGCCCTGCTGGCCCCTTGTCCTGGCTTGGCATGGCCGGGTGGGAGAGCGGTAAGGCCAGGCCTGACTCCTTGGCCGGGGTGTTCTGTGCGTTTGGTTCTCAGCAGGCCGGCCAAGAGATGGAGCAGACAGATGGGTGCTGGGTGGGCCCGCCGCAGCTTTGTTTTAAGAAGTGCACGGTCGGCGGAGTTCCGGGGCCTGACCCTGAGGCTGTGTCCCTCTGAGAGCATGGTGTCCCCTTCCCTGTAAAGGGCCAGGTGCTGTCCTCACTCACTGCCCCTCTGAAGAGAGTCCCCTGCCTGAGTCGTGGCTCTCCTGCCCTTCCCAGCCCTGTGGGAGACCCTGACTACGTGGCAGTGGCCTGGGGTTGGGAGGGCCCGACCCGTGTCTGTGGGGCTGGCTTCCTCGTTCCCACCATGTGCAGAGGAGGGTCAGGCCTCCTTACGCCCCTCATGAGGGTCCCACAGGGGTAGAGAGGTGGGTGGGGACAGAGCTTGGAAGAGGTGATAGGGTGTGGCCAGAAGGCTGTGGGGGCGTCATGGCAGGAAGGGAAACCTGAGAGGCCACTCTCCCAGGGCCGTCAGGCTATGGAGAAGCACAGGCCCTGGGTTCAGAAAGCAGGAGGCGTATGAGGTCTTAGATCTGGAAGGCACTGGGGGGTACAGAGTGGGGAGAACTGTGGGGTACAGGGGACAGTCACGGGAGAGGCGGTGCTGGCAGTGGCAGCCTGCCCAGTGCGTCTGGGGCCATGCCCCAGGACAGCCCCACCAGTCCGCTGAAGCGCCCGGGGACAGGGCTGGGTCTGTAGACAGGCGGACAGGCAGCTGTGGGAGAGCAGGTGCGCTGTGCATGGGGGGCTCACGGCACTGGGCAGAGTCCCCTGGGGAGTAGGCACCAGGGCTGGCCGTGCCTGCTCGGGTGGGGCCCATGATGCCCAGCTGCCATCCCCAGGGCTCCTCCAGGGCGACAGGGGGCCCCCAACCCCCGACTTCTCCCCTAGCTCCACAGAAGGAAGCAGTTGGCTCCATCTGTCACTGAAGGCAGCCCTGCCCGGACAGATCCAGTTTCCCGAGTCCTGGAGGGTGGCCCCAGGGTGGCCGCTAATCACCACGTGGGCCAGGGAGGCCCCGCTGGCCGCCTGGGGACAGGTGCTCGGTTGGCCGGGTTAGTTTCGGGTGTGGGGGCGGCAGGCTGGGGTCCCTTCTCACAGGCTCAGCTCCCTCCTGCCACAGCCAATCACAGCACCGCTCCCAGCATTATCCTGAGAATTCTGGGGCCGTGGGGTGCTGGCGGTGAGTCTGGCATGGATGTCCAGCTTTGTTCAAGCTGGCTCTGGCCTTCTCTGCCTGGGTGACCTTGTGCCCCTTAACCTCTGAGCGTCCCCTCCACCTGTGGAAGATGGGGCTCATCTGACCCCCACTGTTACAGGACAGAGTCCAGGAAACGGGCTGGAGTGCTGCAGTGGGGGCCACCCAGTCAGGGACATGGGGACCCTCAGGGTACAGAGGCTCAGGGCTATGGAAATCCCAGGGCTGGAGACCCCTGGGAATGGGGAGCCCCTGGGAAAGGCCTCTCCTCGCTTCCTCCAGCACCCCCACCCCTGGGTCCAGTGCTCCTGTCTCCTATCCTTTAGCTGGCAGGCCTGGCAGAGCTGTGTAGCCTGGCCCTCCCTGCCACCGCTCCTCCCGACCCATGCTATAGCCGGAGTGGCCTTGGTAGCCGTCCTCCCAGCCCTGCCTGTTTGCTGAAAGCTGGGACTCCTCCTTCCTGGACCCCAAATAAGGGCTTTGTGTTCTGGGGCCAAACCAGACTGGAGATGCCCCCGTGGTCCAGCCGCTGCCCCTTGGCTGGTCTGCCCCAGGGTATGGCATTGGGGACGGCACCCCTCTGTCCTCCCTCTGTGGAGTGCCTGAAGGCTGTGCTGCTGTGCGGGCCAGGTGGTGTGCCCGCTCCTGCTCCTCTAGGTCCCTGCCCCCCAGGAGGGCCGTGGAATGGCAGGAGGGGTCAGGGAGGCTGCTGCCGGCTTTTCTGGGTGTTTTCTTTGGTGGCAACTTTACAGAGTCCCATTCCTTCCCCGTTTGTCCACAGCCCTGAAACAGTCCAGGACTCAGCATCTTTTCTGATAAATTCTCGGCTGGGCCAGCCTAAAAGGGGCTGAATTTCTGCTTTTCATTCAGGTCCTCCTGCGCCCTATGGAGAGGAAGGCGGAGTCCAGGGACCTTGGGAGGGGTTCGGGGGAGCACCCACAGCTTCTGGGCCAGAAGTGTGCCTGCCTGGGGCCACACAGCAACGGTGAGGATAGGTAGGACTCGGGCCACCTCACCAACATCCCTTCCGTGTCCAGCACAGAGCCCTTCCTGGATAGGGCATGAGTGGGACCCAGGGAGGGGCTAGTCAGTATTCGGGGGGCCTGGCCACTGCCCTCCCTGCTGGCTACCTTGGAAATCTCCGTGGCATTCCAGATCGTGTGTGTGTGTGTGTGTCAGGGGCTTGCTCTGACATCCAGGCTGGAGTGCAGCAGTGCGATCACAGCTGTGTCCTCAAGCTCCCAGGCTCAAGTGATCCTCCCAACCTCAGCCTCCTGAGTAGCTGGGATTCTAGGTGCACCACCAGGCCTGGCTAATTTTTTAAAATTTTCATAGAATCAGAGACTTACTATGTTGCCCAGGCTGGTCTTGAACTCCTGGCTTCAGGGGATCCTCCTGTTTCTCCCAAGGTGCTCGGATCACAGGCCTGAGCCGCTGTGCATGGCCTGGGTCCTTGAGGATCTCACCAGACCCGCTCACTGCTGAGTTCTTTGCTTGGCGTTCGAGGACTTTTGTGGTTTGTCTGAGTTTCCTCTCTGGGCAGTTTCAGATCCTCTTGTGTCTGAGGCAGGCTGTCTGCTCACTCCGACTTTCACCCGACTGGCAAGGGTGACCTCTGCCTCTCTCTCTGCTGGGCCCGGCAGGCAGCGCCTGTGGGCTCTAGAGCATGGGCTTCATGGGCAGCTGAGTGGGAGACCCGGGGAGGGAGGTGGGCCCGAGGGAGGATCTCTGAGCCTCCGCCGCCTCCTTTGGGAGATGGAGCTCCATCCCTGTCCTTTGGTGCCCGGGGGAGAGCAGCAGTAGCACATCTGGCTCCCCAGGCCTGTCCCCAAAGGACCCACAGCTTCCCTGCCACGGTCCCAGGGACGGAGTGCGTTTGCTGAGGATGAGACTGCTGCTGCGACAGGCAGCTAATGGCCGGGCTGCCTTTCTGAGGGGGCCTTGCCCACACAGCAAAGAGCCCCTCAGAGCGAAGCAGCTGCCAGCAGGCTGTGTGGGAGCCCCTCACCACAGGAGGACTGAGTGGTGAAATTAGTTCTCCTGCCCTGTCTCCCACCCTTCAGCTGGCAGGCCTGGTTGAGCCCCTATATGTGCTCACAGACCCTTCAGGTTCACGTTCTAGCACACTGGCTTCCAGCCCCGCCAGTGTCCAGGGTCCCTGTGAGCCCTGGCGTGGGCCCCCGCTCCCCGAGAAGAGGAGCAAGAGTTTACCCCCCGGAGACCACGCAGAGCAGGTACAAGGGGTGAAGGAGGGATAGCAACACAAAGGTTTCATGTGTTTAGACTTTAAGGCACTGGGGTCTCTGGCACTGCTGCCTTCCTCCAGCCCAACTCACTCCACCTGAGTCCATCTGCCCCACCCCTGCCCCACTTCCTCACAGGAGTCGCCTCAGCTTCCTCCCCATCCCATGAAGGTGGAGAGTGGGTGCAAGGCAGAACCCTGGACCCCCAGTTGCTGTGAGGACACAGCATGCAGTGTGTGTGTTGAGGAACAGGGTGCTGGGGGCCTGGGGAGAAGGGAGGTGCGCCCTCTTCCCTCTGAGAAGCTTCCGCGGGCAGGGGCAGCTCTGGGCTGGCCCGTTTCTTCCAGACTCCACTCATTTTCACCCCTCATGTTATCATGAAGCAAATTCCAGACACGTCTAATTCATAGAACTTTCAGTCCAAATCTCTGAAAGATGAGGACTTTTGAAAGGTTATAACTACAATGCCACCGCACCCTAGATACTAACTCTGGTTCCAGAAATACAGCCAGTGTTGAATCAGTGCCCCTTGACTCCTCCAGCAGGCTCTGCCAGCACACCAGCCCAAGGCACACAGCCTCCAGTGCCCAGCTTTGCTTCACACCCAGTGCCACTGCCTACACCAGCCGTGGGGCCCAGGCCACCCCTTCCTGGACTGTACAACGGAGCCACCCGCCCACCCTCCCTCTTGGTGACACAGGGGGCTGCGCGAGGGACTGAACCCTTTACAGCTGGTGCAAGGCTGCCCATAGTTTGAACCTTTGTGTCTGCAGAATACCGGGTTTCATTCGTGATGTCATCTTAGACCCTGGGGTAGGGGTGCGTGTAGGAGAGACACCTCCAGCCCCTGGGGAAACGCTCCCCTTGCGGGTTTGACTTCCTGAAATCCAGACAGTTGACAGTCACGACAGGAGTAGAGGCAGGTGACACAGAGTGGTCAGACTCCGGCCTGGGGGGATAGGGATGTAACAGTGAGGGGCTGGTCCCCAGCGTCCAGACATGATCCTTCTGTTTACTTTGTTTCTGGGAGCTGGGAGAAGTAAAGGCCGTGTTTGTTTTGGGCAGATGTGTTCTGAATGTCCAACACTGCCGGCCACGCTCCCAATGTTAACCTCTGTTCGTCCACGTGGCACCCTGGGGTGATGCAAGGTCCTCCTCCCTTTGCTGCGGCCCTGGGTGACTTGGGATCTAGGGGCACCTCCTTTTCTCCCCAGCCAAGGGGGCCCATGGTCACACCCAGTTCTAGCCGCTGGCTAGGACATCCCAGCTCCCAGAATGTCCTTGCATGAGTGAAGCTGTGGCCTGTGGGGGGTATGACTCTCATGCTTGCCCATGGGCTATGGGGGGAAGCTCTCGACAGATGACAGCCTTACTGAGCTCTCAGCACAAACCATCTCTTCACAGCGAGGTCAGCTGGGGCTGGAGAGCTGGACTGTGATCCTGGTGTGCCGACACCTGGGTGCTCCACGCCTCCCTCGCGGGGCCTCTGTGTCTGGTGTGTGGACCCCATAGTGGCCCCCTACCGCCTTTCTGCATGGTCTCTGTGTCTGGTGTGCGGACCCCATGGGGGCCCTGCAGTCAGCCCTTTTGGAGTCTCCACTGAACCTTGGGTTCTGGAGGGGCCTTGTGGCTGGCGGCTGGTCCTGCCCTGGGCTGCCTTTGTGTCCTTGCTGGCCATTGGGGGTGGGGTCCTTAACTGCCCAGGGTCCTCTTGCTGTGTGGCCGCCTGCAGGCTGAGGAGCCTGGGGTAGGAAGCCCAGGGTCTTGATCCTAGGCTGTGCCTCCACTGCCCACTGCTGAGTGCTTCATGTCCCAAAGCCTTTGCACTCAGGTGGTGGCACTCCGGAGGTGAAGGAGGAAGGGGCCTCAGCTTAGTCGTCTGTACATGTGCGCAATCATTCTGACCTTGCAGGTTCGTTGTGGGGATCGCGGGGGTCTCAGCATCAGTGAGCTGAAGGGTTTGTGGCCCTGGCCGACCACCTGTGCTGTTTGTGGTGTTTTCTCCACTGTCTGCTCCCACCCCACCCCACCTCACCCCGCAGAGGAGCTGCCGATGTCTGGGCCAGAGGGCGGAGGTGGGGTGAGCGTGGTGTGAAAGCACCTGGCTGTCCTGCTTGTGCGTCCTCTGGGGTGCTCAGAGGCTGGGGTAGGGAGATCCCACCACCGTCCTTCTCTTGTTGGAACCTCCACGTCGATTTGTACCTTAGTCCATCACTGATTTTCAGCTGGCCTGGCCAGTAGTCTGTTTCATTGTAATTTCTCTGTGGAAGCCTCAGTTGCCTTTCACATCTCGGGATGTGGCCCCGAGCTCCCCGCACAGACATGGAAGGTGCGTGGCTCTGGTCGGGAAGCTGTTTGCCTCGTCTCCTTTCCGCCGCCCTAGGGGAGGTCTTTCAAGGCGGTCTGCAGGTCGCCCTGGTTCTTTCCAGCGTCCGTGTGGGGCTCCCTCACACAGATGCCTTCGGGTTTCTTCATCTTCTCTGTCTGGACGGTAGAGACACCGAGGGTGGCAGAGCCAGGCGCTGGCTGAGGTTTTTGTCTGTCCACCCACTGCACTTGGAGGGAAGGCGTCTGCGGACGGGACTGGCCTTCAGCCCCAGAGGGGATGATGTGGTGTGAACGTGCTGTGGACGGGGACCTGAGGCACTGAGCCCGTCTCAGCCGTCCCTCCCCCCAGGACTCTGGGAGTCGCACACTCTCCCACAGGGAGGGTCACCCTGGGCTCTCACCGGACTCGTCTTCTGGTCTCGTCTTGCCCGGCGTGGTCCTTACCAGGTGGTGGGTGTCGGTACCTGGGAGCGGAGAGGGCTTGAAGCGGATGCCACCCCTTTGCCCTCTGGCTGCCCTCCCTCCCCGCCCCTCCCACTGGCTGGTGCCAGGCTGCCTGAGGGCTCCGCTTCTGTGCTGAGGGCTTCTTGGGGAGGCAGGGCCACTTATCATGGCATCGTGTTGTCCTCAAGTTTTTGCAAAAACCTGAATGTGTGTGGGGTAGGCATCTCAGAGGGCAGGTTGGTGTTCCAGGAGAGGAGAGGTGAGGTCACCATACCTCGCCACTGGGGGTGGGGCAGTCGCCTGCCAGTGTGTGCCAGGGGCTTTTTACACTGCACCCCTCAGCCTTCCAGGTCTTGTTGGGGTTGGTGTGTTTCTGCCAGGTAGCGGAGCTGGAGGCAAGCTGCACCCTCAGGGCCTGTAGTGACCACTGGCATTCAGTGAGCGCATGCTGGCACCAGGCGCAGCCCTAGAGCTTTAACCACATTGGCCGGGATTTCCCTGGCAGCACCAGGAGGGCTCCTGGGCTGGGCCTCGGGCGGCTCTGCAGTGGCTGGTGGGCTTGTGCCAACCAGAGCCCAGGGCGCCCCTCCCTCTGCCTTGCTCAAGCTCACAGTCCATGGCTGGGCGGGGCTGCCTTCCCCACCCAGGACGAGGCCTGCACTCCGGTGTCCATGGGCCGAGCTGGGCTCCTACTCAGCCTCTGGTTTGGAACAGTGGGCGGGTGGCTGGAAGTAGGTGGCTTGAAGGGCCTCATCTGGCCAGGCGTTGTGTCCTGATGGCAGCAGAAGCAGGCCCCCACGTTGAGCTGTGACCGTCTATCCTCATGCTTGAAGGAAGCTGGCCTGCAGCCTGGGAGCCTTCGTTTGTCCCATGACCACTCCCACACCCCCAAAGGTCAGTTTCAGCCCCATTTCCTGGGTCCTGGGCCTGGGCAGCAGCAGTGGGTACTGGGAATTTCCCCCCATGACTGACACCTGGGAGCCGACATCTGGGCCCTGGGACACGGCAGCAGCACAGCCTGGGCCTTCTGTCGGTGCTGCCCGGCAGTCTCAGCGGAGCTGCGTGTGGTGCTTGGTGCCCGTCACTGGCGTGAGCTCTCTCTGTGCCTGACTCCTCCACCCTCAGGAGCCTCGCGGGGAAGTGGAAGGACCAGGTCGTGTGGCTGGCCCCAGCGTCTGTGCTGCCTGGGGCCCAGCAGAACGGGTGTTCTGGGAGGTACCTGGAGACCTTGGGAGGGCAGGAGCCTGCTGCTGTCCAGGCATTGAGGGAGGGTCGCAAGTCACAGGAGACAGGACACAGGTCTCAGGACTCGGTCACTCTGGGTCGCCCCAGGCCCCACCAGCCAGGGTGGGGCTGGACTTGCTTTCAGTCTGAGTCACATGGAGCTCCTGGGAGGTTTTGAGCAGACCAGTGACTTGATCTGACTTGGTTTTAACAGGATCACCCTGCGGTACGGGCTAGGTGGTCCTTGCGGGGCAGAGCAGGGAGCCCTGCTGGGAGGGCTTCATGGAAATCCTAGCAAGTGGTGGTAGCGAGGGGCAGTGCCGCCGCCCTCTGGCCTGAGGCAGCAGGAAGAGAGGCGTTTGGGGAACCCCTGGTTTGTGCCCAGCACAGCAGCTCTGTGTCTGGGGTGAAGACACAGAAACCGGCACAGCTGCCCTCCCCACCAGGGTTGCAGCCTGGGGCTGTGAGCAGCGGCTTGGTGAGATGGAGGGGCATGGAGGCACCTGCTCACCCCAGGAGGGCGTGGAAGAGGTTGGGTATGAGGGGCTTCCCTGGAGGAGACCTTGGCACAGGTGGGCGCCCCTGGAGTTGAGACATGTTCTCTCGTGCAGGCATGCTTGGTGGGTGAGCTGTGTTGCGTGTAGCTTTGAAGCCCTTTCCACGCTGGGGTGGGGTGGGAGGAAGTGAGGTTGCCATGCAGGGTGCTGACAACATTGAACATCCAACTTGGGGAGGGGCTCCTGGTTTGCAGCATTTGCCCATTGCTGGGGTGTAACTGCCAACCGGGGCAGATTTCAGGAGATCAACCAGATGTCAGCCAGCTCACAAACTTCCCCTAGTCTTGACTGTCTGCCCCGAGCATCTACAAGTGGCTGGTTCTGGGGCCGGAGCCGGCTCCTCCCATGGCAGAGCTGCTGCCTGTGCTCCGAGGGGAGCCTGCAGCCCTGACCTGTCTGTCAGTTATACGAGTGCGGGAAAGGCTCACATGGCAGCAAGGTACAAGGCTGAAGTTGAAGTCCCAGGCGCTGGGTTAGAGCTCTTCACATCTGCCCCACACCTTTATAGGTAGACCCGGGGCCACACCGCAGGGCCCTGGCCATGGTTGGAGGCCTGCATACATTCTCCACTCTGCAGCGTTCCTGTGGGTGCTCTCGACTGTCTGTGCCCTCCTGGGACATGCAGGGTGGCTGTGGCCTCTTCCTGCCAGCCCTGCCTGTGGCCAGCCAGTCGGGGCCAGGGAAGCCCCAGCATCTTGCATGTACAGAGCTCCCCGTGGTCAGCTGGGGTGTGGAGGTCGGCAGGGTCTGAGCCGCCGCTCCCACCTCTCTCATTGGCCGAGAGTTTGGCCGGGTCACAACCACGCCACCATCACAAACCTGGGCTTGTTCTCCTGGTTACGGTAGAACCTCACTGCTTGGCCTTGCTCGGGGGTGCCACCTCCCCGCACCGTGTTTGGGTCTACAAACGTCTGTGTTGTGCTGGCCCCACTTCCTGTGGCTGTGTTGGGCCCACATCGTGGCTGTCCACGCATGGGTCACTCTTCAGAACATTGTCGTGGCCAAGCTGTCAGAGCCCAGTAGCAACTAGTCAGCCCCCACGAGTGGTTAGTTGGTGGGTAGAAGGCTGCCAGTGGCTGAGTCCCTTGGCACACCTGCCTCCCAGCGTGTGCCCCAAGCACCCCCCTGGGAGCAAATGGCGTGTGCCTGAGCTCCCTCCGCCGCCCAGGCCTTCCCTCCCGGGCCTGAGAGCAGTGGTTGGAGAGTCGTCTTGAGCTGGTGGCGCTTGGCTTGAGCAGCTTTCCCAACAGCCACTCACCTGGGTGGCTGGGCAATGGGGGTGAGTGAGTGGAGCAGGCCCTGCTGGGGCTTGACAGGTGCCCTCCAGAGCCTGCCGCGGCTGGGAGAGGTGGGGGTCCCCAAGGTGACTGGCCCTGTTGTGCTTCCTCGCTGCAGTTGTCGCCTGGTTGGGCCCGGAAATGGGACGTCGCGCCTCCTCGGGGAGTGTAGAAGCAGCCAGGGCCTCTCCAAGCCGCTGCTGTGACAGAAAGTGAGCGAGCTGCCAGAGGATGTCCACCACCACGACAGTCGCCCCCGCGGGGATCCCGGCAGCCCCGGGGCCTGTGAACCCACCGCCCCCGGAGGTCTCTAACCCCAGCAAGCCCGGCCGCAAGACCAACCAGCTGCAGTACATGCAGAATGTGGTGGTGAAGACGCTCTGGAAACACCAGTTCGCCTGGCCCTTCTACCAGCCCGTGGACGCAATCAAACTGAACCTGCCGGTGCGTAGCTGCTGCCTCCCCAAGAGCCACATTCTGCTGCTGCCGTCCTCTGTCCCCCTCATGCTGCCCCCACTCCTGGAAAGACTGCCACTCTGGCCTTGGGAAGGTGCTGCTAAGCTGGGGACAACCTGTGCCTCAGCAAGCCCACAGCTCGAAGGCACACAGCGGCCACGTGGGCGTGGGAGAGTGGAGGGCGGCTGCCCCAGGTGCAGGAAATAGGGAGAAGCCACGCGCGTCTGGGAGGAAAGCAGGTGGACGGTGATGGGGCTTAGGAGTCGAGGTTCGCTGGGGCCTTCTTCTGCCTCACTGGCTCCTGCAGGATGGCCCATCTGCCAGCTTGGCAAGCCCACTTGGAGTTAGAGGCAGAGATGTTGAGGCCTGCCTTCCGGGCGATGGTGCCCTCAGCTGCATGCTCATTTTTGACCTGGGCCCAAATAGACAAACCCTGAGCATTGCAGAGGAAGCCCTGGGCTGGTGCTTGGTGGCCTGGGCTCTAGGCTCTGTGAGGCCCTGGTCACCTGCAGGTTTAGACCCCGGAAGGTTTGGCTCCATCTCCAGTATGTAGACCTGTCCTGGGGTCTGCCCTAGCCCTGTGGGCTCCCCTCTGCACATGCTTGGGGTCCGGAGAGAGGTTAGGCAGGAGTTTGGAGCTGGCCAAGTGCCCACCTCACCATAACCCAATGCTGTCAGAGATCAGAAAGTGCCTCTGGGCCAGCCCCAGTCCTCAGTCCACTTGGGAAGGCCAGGCTGTGTCCTCTTGGGAATTGCGAAAATAATTATGTAGAATCTTTCGGTAATGCCTCTGAAAATCTCTTTCCTAGGATTATCATAAAATAATAAAAAACCCAATGGATATGGGGACTATTAAGAAGAGACTAGAAAATAATTATTATTGGAGTGCAAGCGAATGTATGCAGGACTTCAACACCATGTTTACAAATTGTTACATTTATAACAAGGTAAGATGCCGGCCCAGAATGCCGCTTGCAGTAAGGATTCGGGTGCTGTGTGGCGCGGATCCTCCGGTCATTCTTGCCAGTGCCAGGTGGACCTGGGCGCTTTGCAGCAGCTCTTGGGCAGGCTCAAAGCACATCACCTGGCCGGGTGCCATGGCTCACACCTGTAATCCCAGCACTTTGGGAGGCCGAGGTGGGTGGATCTCTTGAGCTCAGGAGTTTGAGATCAACCTGTGCAACATGGTGAAACCCCATCTCTACTAAAAATACAAAAAAATTAGCCAGGTGTGGTGGCAGGCACCTGTAATCCCAGCTACTTGGAAGGCTAAGGCAGGAGAATCAGTTAAACCTGGGAGGTGGAGGTTGCAGTGAGCCGAAATCGTGCCACTACACTCCAGCCTGGGTGACAGAGCAAGATTTCATCTTAAAAAAAAAAAAAAAAAAAAAAAAGTATATGTATGTATGTATACGTATGTGTGTATATGTTATATATATTCATTTAGTTCTCTCCTGTGCTGCCAAATGTTAAATTATAAGTATTTTTTTGAGCTACAACTAATAATGTCCTTTGCAAGCGCACAGCTTCTTTCCTGACCGGTGACCTGGACTCTCTGTGTCTTCAGCCCACAGATGACATTGTGCTAATGGCCCAAGCCTTAGAGAAAATTTTTCTACAAAAAGTGGCCCAGATGCCCCAAGAGGAAGTTGAATTATTACCCCCTGCTCCAAAGGGCAAAGGCCGGAAGCCGTCTGCGGGAGTCCAGAGCGCAGGTACAGGGAGCCAGGGCGGGCAAGGGGCGGGGCCTCTGTGCAGTGGCCCACCGATGGATGGGCTGGGACACGAGTCCCTTAGCCGTCTGAGCTGTTTCCCGTCTGTTGTGAAGAGCTCATGGGTGCTGGGTCTTGGCTGAGTGTGGCCTGTGGGTGATGTTGGAGGGGCAGCTAGCCCAGGGATACAGAAGACATTAACGCCAGAGCCGGCTGCCTTTGAGCCCACTCTGGGGAGGAGCTCATGGTCTGGGAGGATCGCCTGTCCCTGCTCTTCACCTCCCAAATCCTGCTCCCCCTTCCAGCTCCAGCCCTGAAGTCACTTCTTCCATGACGCCTGGGGCCTGTGCCCCTCCTAGGGCTTTGTCTCTTCAGCACTCATTTTATTCTCTGTGACCTGAGAGTCACTGTCAGCTGCCTGGCTCCCTGGTCAAGTAAGACGACCTCTTCTTGTTGGGGAGCACGGTGGTGATTAGTGCTGTGAGCCCTGGGATCCCACCTGGCCTGGAAACCCGGCACGCAGGCGTGTCCAGATGGAAGGGCTGACCGAGCGGGATGGTCAGTGCCGTGTGCTGTCCTGTGTTGCAGATGGGAGAAGCTGGGGACTTAAGTCCGGCCAGAGCCTTGGTCACTCAGCTAGTTACTGAGGGAACCGAGTTCGGTACCAGCTTTCTGTGACTCCAGGTACCAGCCCTTGACTGCCAGGCCATGGGACTGCCCTGGCTTCCTTGTTCTGCCTCCTATGGTCTGTGGTGGGGGTCTCCCCTTCATTCGGGGAGCCCTTAGCCAAGATGAGCCAGAGCAGTCCTGCCTCCAGGTTGCAGGGTCGGGGGCATCTCAGCATGGAGGGCTCTTCTGGCTGGGGGTTTTGGCAGCACAGAGCTGGCCCCCATGTTCTGGCTGGAGGGGTGGCACTGGAAGCTTCTGGAAATACTAGTAGAGCCTGGCATGCCAAATGTCCCTTCCTTGTCTTGAAGGTACGCAGCAAGTGGCGGCCGTGTCCTCTGTCTCCCCAGCGACCCCCTTTCAGAGCGTGCCCCCCACTGTCTCCCAGACGCCCGTCATCGCTGCCACCCCTGTACCAACCATCACTGCAAACGTCACGTCGGTCCCAGTCCCCCCAGCTGCCGCCCCACCTCCTCCTGCCACACCCATCGTCCCTGTGGTCCCTCCTACGCCGCCTGTCGTCAAGGTGAGCACACTGAGTCCGGACGGCTGGGGCGTCCGAGCCCAGCCAGGGTTCCTGAGGTGAGGGCAGGAGCAGCGGGCGGGGGCTCCCATCTTTCCCTGAGTGCCGGCTCCTGGGAGTGGTTCTCTCTGCGCCCTGGGAGGTCAGGCCGTTGTTCCTGACGCAGATGAGGAGACCTAGGCCTGGGGAGCTGAAGGTCACACAGCTGGTAAGGGAGGGTCTGGCTGAACTTGAACCCCAGCTTCTCTGGCCAGAAGCCCTGGCCAAGGGCTCGGTCAAGGTGGGGAAGGTGTGGGAGAGAAGCAAGGGTGGGGGGGTCCCAGTCCTCCCCTGCTCACAGCCAGGAGTGTGGTGCCAGCTGTACCCACCTGGGTGCATTGTGAGGTGCCGGCACCCAAGCCGGCCCCGCCTGTGGGCTCCACGTGGGAGCATGGGGACCCGCCTATCCTGCTCCCCACTTGGCTGGGAGCTTTTCACAGTGGGCCGTTGTTGGTCTCGGCAGGGAGTGGGTGCTCCCTGCAAGATTTGGGGCTAGCGAGGCCTGGTGAGTCTCCTGCTTTGGGCAGGGCCCGTGCCAGGCACTTATGTGTATTATCTTCTTCGATTTGATCCTCACAGCAACCCTCTGGGCAGACAGTATTTCCCCCATCTTACAGATGAGGAAGCGGGCGCTCAAAGGGGTTAAATGGCTCGCCCAAGGTAAAACGCCACCTCCGTTGCTTCCCCTCCCCGTGGCCTTCACTGCCTGCACTTATGGGTGGCCCCTGGCCAAGCCGCCTCCCCCAGCGGGGGCTGTTTCTGGAGCATGTCCCATTTGCCACGGCCAGATGAGTCCGTCCCTGCTCCCACCCGCCCTCTTCGGCACGTGCCTGGCGCTTGGCAGCCCGTGGGTGCCTGTCAAGGGTTGTGGCTAGCCGGCTCCGGCCCCTGCCAGTCCGAGGGCGGCGGCTTGGCTGGGCAGTGACTGTGGGTGGCTCGTCTCCCGCTGGGCTAAGGTTAGAAGCCAGCTGAGCTGGTCTCAGGGTGCACACTGAGCCCTGGCCCCGGAACGCTGAGGTGATGCCCATGGGTGCTGGGTGCTGAGGCCCTTGCAGGCTGCCCAGAGAGACCTGCACAGCCCCAGGGGGCCTGGACATTAGACATGAGTGTCTGCCTGGTGCCTGGCTCCGCCCCCAGGACACACCCGTGGAAGCTCTGTGGGTCGTCTCCCTCCTCTCCTTGCTTGAAATAGCCTTCAGTGGCTCCCGTTGCCACCGGGATGGAGTCCAGACTCGCCCACTCGCTCCCTGAAGTCCTTTGTTCCCAGAGCTGCTGTGGCTGCTTCATGCCTCCTGGTTGGGCTGCCCCTGCCCTGTGTCCGGAATGCTCTCCTGCCTCCTCCTTGTCCCGCAAAACTTGTGTTTGTCTGCGGAGCCGCTGCTGTCAGGCCCTTGTCTGGAACTTTCCTGCTGGTCTCTAAAAGCAGGGAGTTCCCAGGTCTCTGCAGCGCCGAGGTCCCCGGGTCCTGGCCTGGGTGCTTGTTAGGTGTCTGGTGAATTGCATGCAGCACCTCACACAGCTTGGGGTGTGAGGTGCGAGCCCACCCGGGACCCCCGAGCCCTCGGGGCTAAGGGAGAGAGGGGTCTCCCCATGCCCAGGTGAGGGCGGGTTTCAGAGTTGAGCCTGAGGGAGAGTCCCAGCCTCACCACTGCCAGCTGTGTGACCTTGGGCCAGTGACATGGCCCCTGAGCCTTGGTGTCCTCTCCTGTGGGGCCGTGCATGTGGCCGCTTAGCCCAGCGCCAGGCAGGCAGACAGACAGTGCCCCCGAAACGTGGCTGCAGCGACATGCGTCTTCGGGGCGGCGGCCTGGTTTCCGGGGCTCACTGGTTATTTCACTGTCGCAGAAAAAGGGCGTGAAGCGGAAAGCAGACACAACCACTCCCACGACGTCGGCCATCACCGCCAGCCGGAGTGAGTCACCGCCGCCGTTGTCAGACCCCAAGCAGGCCAAAGTGGTGGCCCGGCGGGAGAGTGGCGGCCGCCCCATCAAGCCTCCCAAGAAGGACCTGGAGGACGGCGAGGTGCCCCAGCACGCAGGCAAGAAGGGCAAGCTGTCAGAGCACCTGCGCTACTGCGACAGCATCCTCAGGGAGATGCTGTCCAAGAAGCACGCGGCCTACGCCTGGCCCTTCTACAAGCCGGTGGACGCCGAGGCCCTGGAGCTGCACGACTACCACGACATCATCAAGCACCCGATGGACCTCAGCACTGTGAAAGTACGTGGCCGCGCGGCAGGCCCTGCTCTGCCCACGTCCTGCGGATCTGCCGTGGGTGCTAATGTCTTGTGCCGGCTGAGTGGGGGCTCTCGGGGAGCGGGGTCTCGCCTGCCAGAGAAGCGCACCCTCCGGACTGGCCCCTGCGGCCCTGGCTGTGGCTGGCAGGGCTCAGCGAGAAAGGTGTGCCCTGCCCATGGGTCCCGGAGTCTGTGGCTCTGTTGTTTATTCCCATCAAACCCATTTGGTGATTTAATTGATTTCCTTCCCAACTCCCATTCTGTATCATCAGGTCAGGGGGCCCCTAGATCTGGGCCACTCTCACAGTTGGCTCAAGTTTTAAAGCTACACTTTGCCTCCCTCAAGTCCTGGATACAGGCGCCTCACAGCAGACGGGAGTGAGGCGGCCGGTGGGGATGGCCTGGCTTCTGTCCCTTAAGTGCCTCCAAGCCCCACCCCCTCACCAGATGGAAGCGGGCCCTGGGCGGGTGGCAGAGCTGAGACTGAGAGCCTGGCCTCCCCCATGCCCGTCTTCTCGAGGCGGCAGCCTCTGCCTGGGCTCTTGTGTGCCTCGCAGCAGGTCAGAGTGAGTCTGGTCCCGGTGTGGGGTGGCGGGGCGGGTGGGGAGTGGCATTTGAGCTGCGCCGCCCCAAGGCAGGGTGAACTCCACCAGGTCTTCCCTGAGTGCCTTTCCAAACTTCTGGCTGGCACCTGGTCTCCCTCTGGGAGAGCTCTGAGCCAGCTCCCAGGGACATGCAGGCGGTGGAGGTGTGGCCCGCCTCCTCCGCCAACTGCTGGTGACCCTGGGAAGAGCTGCTGGGAGCCCTGTTGGGCAGTTTTTTGTTTTCATCCTGGAAAGCCAGTTGCAGTTATTCTGCACCCCCTGAACCAGGATCCCCTAATGAAAGCCTTTTCTTCCCTGGTTGACTGGATCTCGGCCGGGACAGACCTGGCTGGCTCAGGCCCCAGTGCCGGGTGCACAGTCAGGCGAAAGCGATGAGCGCGGCCGCCTGGCTTCACTGCCGTGGGTGGGGAAGCTGAGGGCCGGAGCCACGCAGCTCAGAAGCTGCCAGGAGCGTCGGCTCCAGCCTCCAGGGCCAGGGTTTGTGTGCCTCTACCACAGCACAGTAACAGGAATTTCTGGAACATCATTGGGGGTTCCAGCGTTTGTGCCAGACTGAAGCTCAGCTTAATTCCGTTTTGGTCGAAGGGTCTGATTTGCCCTTGAAACCATAATAAAGAAGCTCTAGAAAACCAGTTCACTTTAAAGTTGTGATCTGCTTTGTTCGGAGCTTCCCACCTCTGTCTGTCCGGGCGTGGGGAGAAGCCAGGTGCCGTGGCAGCACCTGCTGCCTGCGAGTGTGGCCCAGACGCTGCGGGGAAAGGGCAGTGAATCAGCGAGAGAGGCCTCAGGACCTGTAGATTTTACAGATGGAACTTTTGGGGATGGTTTGCCCCGGCACATGCTAAGGCAGAAAACAAGCTTTTCTCCCAACATCAGAGGCTTTCAGGTCCCTCTGTGCTCCCGGGTTCTTTCTGCCAGCCCTTCCTTCTGGGTGGGTCTCATGTCCGAGTGCACAGGGTACGGACCCTGAGTTGGGGGGCGCCCTCTGCGGGTTAGGACCCAGCCCCTCCATCTCACTGGCACCTGGATGAATGCAGCCTGGACCCCATGGAGCGGTTGGGGTAGATTCGCCCTGCCCTTGCGTGTGTCCTCCCTTGAGGTCCCCGACAAGGTCCCTCTCCTTGAAGCCATCCCGGGATGGGAAACTCACTCGCTCCGGCACAGTGTGACCTCTTTTTGCCCCAACTGGTGTGTTCCCAGTGGCCACCTTGAAACATCCGTCGACGATCCTGCCTCTGGCTACTCCCCGGCCGAGCCACCTGCACCTCCCAGCTCTGGGGACTGACTGTGTGCCCCTCCTCACCCTTGCCACCTGGGACTGTCTGCCCAGGCCTTGGTCTCAGTTCTCCCCTTGCCAAAGCCAGGTGGGACCTGCGGTGGGTTTTGCTCTAGGGTTTCTGTGTGGCCAAGTAAACGTGGGTGGGTGTCGGCCCACACGCCCCCATTGCCTCCACCGCTGTGGGGTTCAGGAACTGCCTCTGGATACAACATGGAGTCCCTTAGGTCCAGCTAGGCCCCTGGGATACCAGGGTGCTTCTGTAAGACACAAGCTGGCTAACAGCTACTGGCTTCCTCAAGGGAGAAATAACGTTTCCTTGTGTAGACTGAGCAGGCCCGTTATTGGTGGAATCTGACTTTCCTGCAGTCTCACGCCGCCCCGGGGCTGCCGATGGCATGTCGGCATGTGAAGATTTACCCACTTTGTGTGAAGGGACGCTCTGGACAAGGAAGGGGCTAAGGGACACCCGCGGAAACCCGGGATTTCTCGTTGAGCGCCTTTTTCTTCCAACCGGGAGATCTGTCTCGAGTCCCAGACCCTCCCTGCCAAGCCATCGATCACCCTCTCATGTCCTCACTTTGAGCTTCCTTGTGTGAGGTGCCGGAGAGCTGGGGTGTCCTGCTGGCCAGGCCAGTAGCCACTGTCCTGGAGCTGGCAGTGGCTCCTGCTCCGGAGTTCATCTCGTGGGGTGTGGCAGAGAGTCCTGAGGCCACAGGCCACGCTCACTGACCCCTGTCACTGTGTGTTGCAGAGGAAGATGGATGGCCGAGAGTACCCAGACGCACAGGGCTTTGCTGCTGATGTCCGGCTGATGTTCTCGAATTGCTACAAATACAATCCCCCAGACCACGAGGTGGTGGCCATGGCCCGGAAGCTCCAGGTAACCCGAGGTTGGGCACAGGTGGGGCGGCTCAGCTCGGCGCTGTGGGCATCCTGGCCTCGGCGTGGGGTGGGTGCCCAGGTAATTGTCCAGCTGAGGAAGGCCTCAACCTCATTCCCTCAACACGTTTTTCCCGAGTGCCAACCAGGTCCTGCCAGGCTCTGAGCTGGGTTCCAGGAGCTGCCGCTGGGGCAGGGCAGCCGGTGAGCAGGCGGGACCGCTGGGACTCCGTGGGGGTGTCGCAGCAGTGAGCCTTTCCCTCCAGGGGCTGGTGCGTGTACCAGGTGGGAGGGCAGATGCCCTTTGTCCTGTGGCTTCACCGACTGTAGTTTCCAGCAAGTCTGTGGCAAGGAGAGGCTTGGACACTAGCCTGACAGTGCAGCCGGTGGATGAATTAGATGACAGTGGCTTGTGTAGCATGTTGCTTTTCTGACAACAGAAGTAAAAGGCGGATTGGAGAAGACGCAGGAAGCAGTGGGATGTCTTAAGGGAAAACAGGAGTGTCTTGGTCTGGCTCTCAGCACAGGGACTTTGTGAACATGCACAGACCTCACAGAGATATTTGTGTGCGTGCACGTGTGTGCGTGTGTGGACCTGTGTGCATGCTCCTGCCTACATGTACATTTTTCTGCCGAAGTCCAGGTCCCGCACACATATTTTGCTGTGGGTGGATGCGCCAGAATCTATTCTTACCTTTTCTAATTGTGATCGCAGGTGGTTTGCTTTTACCAATAACAGCACCCCTGTTATAAATGTTATTTAATCAAAGGACTTGATTTTGGGAGGAAAGGGGAGAATTATGGGTACGTGTTCTCTTCCAGCGTGCTTTTCCTTTTCACGGGACCCAGAATGTCGTGTAAGATGTTCGCAATCCTTGCACAGACTGTTTTGAAATCCCCGAGCAGCCCGTGGTATTATTGCGGATGACACAGGACCCATAAAAGGGGCAGAGAGAGAAACTCGTTCCCCCGCTGTGGGTCCTGCTGCCTTTCCCACCCTCCCGCGCACAAGGCCTGCCCAAGGTCCTCTCCCAGGCACTGCTGCCATTGCCACCCTCTCTCTGCACTGGGTCCTGCAGGGGATGATGGCAGAGTGGTCCTGGAGGTCCCATTACATCCAGAGGAAGCCATCAGAACCCCGGTTTTATACCGAGACCTTGCTCACTGTGTCTTGAACCCAAAAGACCTTGCAAAGCCCAGTCTTCTGGAGCCTGGTAAATGCTGGGTTGAATTTAATGAGGGAGCTGGGCATAGAGGACGGAAACCCAGGCTTGCAGACCAAGCAGGGACGCCGGCAGCTCTGCCCTCCCCCGCCCCACTCCTGCAACGGGTGCCGTTGGATAGACATGGTGCTCACGCCTGTAATCCCAGCACTTTGGGAGGCGGAGGTGGGAGGATCACTTGAGGCCAGGAGTTTGAGACAAGCTGTCTCTACAACAGATTTTCAAAACGAGCCACGTGTGGTGGTGTGTCCCTAGTACCAGCTACTCAGGAGAGTGAGATGGGAGGATCACCTGAGCCCAGGCGTTTGAGACTGCAGCAAGCTGTGATTGCACTGCACTCCAGCCTGGGCAACAGAGTGAGACCCTGAGGCTGATGGATTTCCATGACTGAGCACTATTTAGCAATTGTACCATTTTATCAATTGAGCTGTGGGGTTAGAGCCCAACAGCAAAATGACCTGACCTGAATGACCTTCAAGGTTGTCAACCGAATGGGGGCGTGGATCGCTGCTCTGTGGGTTGAGTTGCCTCTGGGGACATCTGAGAGGAGAGCCCGGGATATGGGAGCCTGGGGTGGGCTTTTCCAGAGCTGGGTCCAGCCTGAACAGTGGAGGCACATCACGTGTGCAGATGGTGTGGATTCAGGTTTCTGAGCTTGGCCAAGAAATCTCCCCTCATTTCCGCATCACCGTGCATCCCTGTCTTCACTGGGCCTGGGCTGCCCCAGGGAGGGGGACGTTTGCTGAGAGGGGCTACTGAGGGCCTGGGTCCTGGTCCAAAGGCTTTCCAAAGTCAATTTTGATAGGAAGTTCGGGTGTGATGGCTCACGCCTGTAATCTCAGCACCTTGGGAGGCCAGGGTGGGAGGATCACTTGAGCTCAGGGGTTCAAGACCAGCCTGGGGAACAGAGCAGGACCCTGTCCCTACAGAAAATAAAGTAGGCTGGGCGTGGTGGCTCACACCTGTAATCCCAGCACTTTAGGAGGCCCAGACAGATCACAAGGTCAGGAGTTCGAGAATAGCCTGGCCAACATGGTGAAACTCCGGCTCTACTAAAAATACAAAAAATTAGCTGGGAGTGGTGGTACGCACCTGTGATCCGAGCTACTTGGGAAGCTGAGGCAGGAGAATCACTTGAAACCAGGGTGTGGAGGATGCAGTGAGCTGAGATCATGCCATTGCACTCCAGCCTGGGCAAAAGAGCAAGACTCTGTCTTGAGAGAAAAAAAAAAATAGTAAAATATATATATATAAAATAAAATATTTACATATATATTTATATTTGAGACAGGGTCTCACTTTGTCACCCAGGCTGGAGTGCAATGGCATGATTTCAGCTCGCTGCAGCCTCGACCTCCTGGGTTCAGGCCATCCACCCATCACAGCCTCCCGAACAGCTAGGATCACAGGCGTGTGCCACCATGACTGGCTAATTTTTATATTTTTTTGTAAATAAAATATTGATAGGACTAGACTTTGGCCTTTTGGACCAACTTTTGGAGTTAACCCTTCATGAGATGTGATGCTCCAGTCATTTCCGGGGTGAAGAGATGGGAAGAGGTCAACACTCTTGGGCTCCTGTGGCTGTGGAGGACCCTGTCCAAGCTCAAAGGAAGACACTCTTTCCCATTTCACAGCAGGGGCAGCCCCGGGGAACTTCGGGCCAGCAGGCTAGAAGGATGCGTGCATCTTCTAGAGAGGGCTCATGGAGTTGGTGAAGGGAGCTGTGGGCCAGCTCCTGTGTCCCCTGCTCCCAGGCCTGTCCCCAAGAATTGCCTGGGGAGGGAGGGAGGGCGAGTTGGAAGCGACCACAGCCCCCCAGGCAGGTGGGACCCTGTCTCCTCCTGGCCCGACCTTCCTAACAGCTGTGTGTGCTGCCCCAGGGGCACTTCAGGAACCCTGAGGGCCCACACCAAGGGGCAGCCCCATGGGGGTCCATGTCTTCAGGGCACCCTCTGTTCTCCCGCAGGACGTGTTTGAGATGAGGTTTGCCAAGATGCCGGATGAGCCCGTGGAGGCGCCGGCACTACCTGCCCCCACGGCCCCCGTGGTGAGCAAGGGTGCTGAGAGCAGCCGTAGCAGCGAGGAGAGCTCTTCGGATTCAGGCAGCTCGGACTCAGAGGAGGAGCGGGCCACCAGGCTGGCAGAGCTGCAGGAGCAGGTGGGACTGGCATACCTGAGTAGGGTTCGGGGCTGAGGCGGGATTGCTGGCACGGCAGCCCAAGGTCTGTCCCTTTGCATGGTTCCCTCCTCTGCCCTGTGTCCCACAGCACCCGCTGCAGTGCCGCCTTGTAAAGGCACTCGGAGTGCCCTCCCCAGGTCTGTTCTGGGTGGCGCGAGCCTAACCCATAGCACACATGGGTGGCTGCGCTGACTCGTGGCTGGGATGTTTCTGGAGACCTGGCGGGCCTCAGGTGGGAGCTCAGTGGTCATGTGTGGTTATGTGTGCCTTGCTCTGCTTGAGAAAGGCCTGTGAGGCACTTGCAGAGGCCGCAGTAGTGCCTGGGCTCTAAGCAGTCACTTGCAGTGGTGTGGGGTGCGGGCTCCAGGGTCCTGAGGGCCCTGCCGTGCAGCTGCCCAGCCCCAGCCCAACCCCAGCCCAGCTGCCAGGCTGGGCGTCCTCCCCCTTCTCTGCCTCGCTTTCCTCGTTTGCAGTATGGGACAGATGTCGCCCCCTCTGAGCTGTCTCGAGGTCGAATTGAGAAAGATGTGAATTGTTTCCCCAAACCTCCGGCAGCCAGCCAGGTGCATGATTTCTGGGGCCCCAGATCGAGAGAAAATAGAGCAGGGCTATCGAGTCAGGAGGGGAACAGCATGAATCAGGGCTGCAAGGACAGCGATGGCCCTGCAGTCCCCAGAGTTGGGCCGGACGTTTGATTTTGAAGTGGCAAGGACACACGGCGGGGCAGACGTCTGTGGGCAGCTCCTCCACCCACCCGCTGTCTTCCTTGCACAGACCACCCAGAGGCAGGGACAGGCCGTGTCCTCACCTGGGCAGTGCCTCTCCTCTCCCATGGGGTGGCTGCAGTGGGGAGGGCGAGGCGCTTGGCACACTGCCAGCTGCAGGGTGGCCCCAAATAAATGCTGGCTGCTGGCAGTGGTTTGTTTTAACCCCAGAGACCTGCGTGTTATCAAATGGCTTCCCAGAAGTCACTGATGAAAATCTCCTTTGTGCGGGCATTTAAACTTCTAGAGAGTCCTTCCTCATCTAAACAGTGGTGATAAAAATGTTAGCTGCCCACCTAATGTAGATGACGGGTTCATGGCTGCAGCAAAGCACCGTGGCACGTGTATACCTGTGTAACAGACCTGCACGCTCTGCACATGTATCCCAGAACTTAAAGTATAATAAGTTCTTTTTAAAAAGTTAGCTGCCCTTAGCTGCCCTGTTGTGCCGCCTGTGCAGTGCTGAACCTGTGGCCAGGCAGCTCCTCCCCACTGCATGTGAGGAAGCCGAGGCAGAGAGGGCTCATGACTCACTAGGGGTCACAGGGGAGTGAGGGGCAGAGCAGGGCCCGGGTGCTCCTGGTTCACCTCCGTGCCCAGCGGAGGCAGCTCCGACATCGCCCCAAGCCCCCTCCCATCCAGGGCCCCAGGCAGCCCCAGTGGTGTGGGCTGTGCCCAACGCCTGCTCAGCTGCCTGCTCTTTTCCAGCTGAAGGCCGTGCACGAGCAGCTGGCCGCCCTGTCTCAGGCCCCCGTAAACAAACCAAAGAAGAAGAAGGAGAAGAAGGAGAAGGAGAAGAAGAAGAAGGATAAGGAGAAGGAGAAGGAGAAGCACAAGGTGAAGGCCGAGGAAGAGAAGAAGGCCAAGGTGGCTCCGCCTGCCAAGCAGGCCCAGCAGAAGAAGGCTCCTGCCAAGAAGGCCAACAGCACGACCATGGCCGGCAGGTGGGCTCCAGACCTGCTCAGGCTCCAAGAGCCCGGCGCTCAGTGTGCTACGGGGGCTCACGTAGCAGCAGTGCTGGGACTGGGGGCTTTGTGCCTTGGCCACCTGGAAGCCAGGGTGATGGGGGCGGGGAGACTGAGGACCTGATGAGACCTATGCTGGGAAGTCCAGGGGCTCAGGTGGTGCTGCTCAGCTGTCTGCAGGGCAGGCCTGGATTCGGGGCATGGAAGTGCTGCCACGGCCCGGTCTCCACATCTTGAAGCTTTTGGGATGTTTTCCTGGTCTGGGCCAAGGATCTTGACTTGGGGGAGTTGAACGCCCCATTTTGGGCTTGCCCGTAGGCAGGGAGCAGGGATGGTGGAATCGTGCACAGCTGCTTTCAGCCTCCTTGAGCCCGTGCTGTGGCTGGACACCACCCTGAAGAGTGTCTGCTGGGGACACTCAGGAGCCACAAAGCAATATGAGCTAGTAGGGAAGGAGCTCAGGCCTAGGATTCCTCTCCCAGCCAGGCAGAAGGGAGGCTTCCCAGCGGGGAGGCAGCAGCTGTGTGGGAGCAAGCTTGGCAGCCGAGGGCTGGGGAGGGAGTTCCAACAGCAGCGAACAGTGGGTACAAAGCTGCAGAGGCCAGCAGGACGTGTTCCTTTTGGGAATGAGGGCAAATTTGGCACCACTGAAAAAGAACAAGTTGGGAAAAGAGGTGAGTTGAGGCTGCTGAGATCGGCCGGCTTCGTTTGAGGTGTTCACGCTTCCTTTCCAAGCAGATGAAGGGGAGTTAGGATTTAAGCTCAGCATAGTCGGATCCTTGCCGCTATGGAGAAGAGCTTAGTGGGAATCTGGAATGGAAGACAGGATACCCCTTTGGAGGTTATCGTGGTTGTGCAGGCAAGATAAATTGGTGTGGCTCTGGAGATAGAATAATTTGGGAGGCGCCATGGCCAGGCCCTGGTGCTTGGAGGGCGGAGGAGAGGAACCTGGGGGTCCTGGGTTTGCGCTTGGACGGCTGGGTCAGCCATTGATGGAGACAGTGAGTGGAATGGTTGGGGTTGGTCTTTCCTTCCCTTCTTTTCTCCCTCCCTCCCTCTTTCCTTTTTGGAGGGGGATGCAAAAATCCATTTTTCTTATACAGGTTGAGTATCCTTTATCTAAAATAAGGGTGTTTCTAGAATAAAAAGTGCTTCAGATTTTGGATTTTTTCAGATTGTGGAATTTTTGCATTATACTCCCCCTTGAGCATCTCAAATCTGAAAATCTGAAATGCTCCAGTGAGCATTTCCTTTGAGTGTCACGTTAAGACTCAGACAGTTTCAGATTTTGGAGCATTTTGGATTTTTGGTTTTGGGATACCCAGCCTGTACTATCTTTGTCTGGTTTTAGTATCATCATAATGCTGGCCTGAAAAATGAGTTGGGGCCAGGTGTGGTGGCTCCCACCTGTAATCCCAGCACTTTGGGAGGCCAAGGCAGGAGGATCACTTGAGCTCAGGAGTTTGAGACCAGCCTGGGCAACACAGTGGGACTCTTATCTCTTAAAAAAAAAAAAAAAAGAAAAAAAAGTCTTGGGATATAATATTTGAGTGATTAGAGGCAATTAAAAAGTGATTTAAGGCCGGGTGCGGTGGCTCACACCTGTAATCCCAGAAATTTGGGAGGCTGAGGCAGGCGGATCAGCTGAGGTCAGGAGTTCGAGACTAGCATGGCCAACATGGTAAAACCCCGTCTCTACTAAAAATAGAAAAAATTAGCCGGGCACAGTGGTGGGCGCCTGTAATCCCAGCTACTCGGGAGGCTGAGATAGGAGAATCGCTTGAACCCAGGAGGCAGAGGTTGCAGTGAACTAAGATCATGCCACTGCACTCTAACCTGGGCGACAGAGTGAGACTTGGCCTCAGAAAAAAAAAAAAAAAAAATTTGAAAAGTGTTGCCCCTTTTCTGTTTTCTGGAGTAAATTTATAGAATTGATATTAATACTTAAATGTTTGGTAGGATTCACTAGCAAAACCATCTGAGCCTGGAGTTTTGATTGTTGGAAAGTTTTTAATCATGAATTCAATTATTTTAATAGGTATAGACTTATTAGATTATTAATTTCTTCTTGAGTGAGTTTTAGAGGTTTATGCCTTTGAAGGCATTAATCCATTCCACTCAGATTGTCAAACTTACAGATATAAGTTTATTGGTTAGTATTTCTCTATTATCCTTTTATTGTCTGTAGGACCTGTAGTGGTGTGTCTTTTTCATTCCTGATATTGGTAATTTGTGTCTTTTTTCTTGGTGAATCTGGATAGAGACTTACCAATTTTATTGATCTTTCAAAGAAACAGATTTCATTGAATTTTTTAAAAAATGTTTTTACTTTTATTTATTTCTCATCTTCACTGTTTCCTTTTGCTTAGACTTGGCTTCTTTTTACAAGGTAGAAGATTAGATTCCTGACTTGAAACCTTTTTTTTATTTTTTATTTTAAAAATTTTTTTGAGAAGGGGTCTCACTCTGTTGCCCAGGCTGGAGTGCAGTGGCCCAATCTCGGCTCATGCAACCTCCGCCTCCCGGGTTCAAGTGATTCTCCTGCCTCAGCATCGCAAGTAGCTGGGATTATAGGTGCCCGCCACCATGGCTGGCTCATTTTTGCTTTCTTAGTAAGGACAGGGTTTTGCCATGTTGGCCAGGCTGGTCTCAAACTCCTGACCTCAGGTGATTCACCCGCCTCGGCCTCCCAAAGTGCTGGGATTATAGGCGTGAGCCACCATTCCTGTCCCTGCATTGTCCTTTTTTCCTGAAAATATTCCTTTTTCTGAAGTCTACTTTGTCTGAAATTAATATAGCCACCCCAGCTTTCTTTTGACTAATGTTTGCATGGTATATATTTTTTCTCACTTTTTTCCTTTTAACCTACCTAGAACATTATATTTAAAGTGGCATTTGTGTAGACACTAGGTAAGTTGGGTCTCGTTTTTTAATCCAACCTGAGTATCTCTTCCTTTTAGTTGGTGTGTTTAGACCATTTATATTTCTTTCTTTTTTTTCTTTTTCTTTTCTTTTTTTTTTTTTTTTTTTTTGAGACAGAGGTTTGCTCTGTTGCCCAGGCTGGAGTGCAGTGGCAAGATCTTGGCTCACTGCAGCCTCCGCCTCCCTGGTTCAAGCAATTCTCCTGCCTCAGCCTCCCATGTAGCTGGGATTACAGGCGTGTGCCACCTCGCCTGGCTAATTTTTTGTATTTTTAGTAGAGACCGGGTTTCACCCTGTTAGCCAAGATGGTCTCAATCTACTGACCTCATGATCCGCCCGCCTCAGCCTCCCAAAGGGCTGGGATTACAGGCGTGAGCCACCATGCCGGGCCTTAGACAGTTTATATTTCACATAATTATTGATATAATTGGATTTTGGTCTATCATTTTATTTTTCCTCTGTGTTTTTTGTTCCTTTGTTCCCCCTTTTTTGCCTTCTTTTGGATTACCTGAATACAGAGATCATTTCTTGACCTGTGGAGTTTGAGACGCCTATGGGGTGTGGAGAGGAACTAACCTCTGTAATTGTTTTCTGGCCAAGGTCTGGAAACCCGGCAGCTGGGAGCAACTTTTCTAACCTTGGATTTTCTGCCTTGGGGCACCACTTTGGGAAGAAAGCTTGGTCCCAGAGAACAGCCTGCTGTTGGGAGGAAGGGGTGTGTGCAGTGGGCTCCCAGGGCGGGTAGACAGAGAGAGACTCAGCGCCACGTTGCTCTGTCTTCTGCCCCAGACAGCTGAAGAAAGGCAGCAAGCAGGCATCTGCCTCCTACGACTCGGAGGAAGAGGAGGAAGGCCTGCCCATGAGCTACGATGAAAAGCGCCAGCTTAGCCTGGACATCAACCGGCTGCCCGGGGAGAAGCTGGGCCGGGTGGTACATATCATCCAGTCTCGGGAGCCCTCGCTCAGGGACTCCAACCCCGACGAGATAGAAATTGACTTTGAGACTCTGAAACCCACCACTTTGCGGGAACTGGAGAGATACGTCAAGTCTTGTTTACAGAAAAAGCAAAGGAAACCGTTCTGTAAGTTGCCTGGGTGGAGCATGGTGCTCGAAGCTCCTCTTCCCTCCTTGGCCTGCCCCTCCTGTCACTCCTCACAGACCCTGTGCAGCGAGCGTGGGCACAGGGCTGTCACACTGTCTTGGCTCCTTGGTCCCACCACAGATGCCCTGAGGATATCTGTGCTCAGCCAGGGCCAGTGGGCTTGGGGCTGAACCCGGGCCTGAGCCCCACCCAGCCAGAGCCCTCTTGCCCTGTTGTCAGGGACATGGGCAGCACTGTGTGCCTTGGCCTTAACCTTGTCCAGGGAACGCGCAACCCTGGGGCTGGACTTCGGCCCCAAACCCCATTCATTCAGGGCCCAGTTAGGGTCCTCACTGCATGCCTTCCTGAGGTTCCCTCCATTTGGGGCCTTGGCTGCAGGTGACCTCTCATGGTCCCTTGCAGGACAGACCGGCTTCTCTTATAACAGGGACACCCTGCCTTTGACTGGAGTCACAAGTCCAGAGGCCTCACAGGACGGACCCTGGGGCACTGACCCAGGCTTCCCTGAAGTCAATGGCAGGAACAAATCACTGCTGGGGTCTGCAGGTCTGGCAGAGTAGGAGGGAGGGCAGACCTGAGGTGGCCCTTGTGGCAGCCCCCACAGGCTGTCAAGTGAGTACAGGGCTCACTTGAACTTGCATGTGGCCTCTCGGGTGTGCATGGGCCTGGCTCGCTCTCAGAGCGAGTCTCCTTTGCCTGGATGGAGTGTCCGTGCGGTCACGGTGCGTCTGACCCACGGCAGGTCACCGGGTCGACTTGCGGGGAGGGACTCGGGAGTGTCGGGCAGTGGAGAGCAGCGGCCGTGGTGAGGCAGGTCCATGAGTCAGAGGCTCTGGCCCTGCACGTGAGGGACACTGGCCAAACCACATCCTGCCCATGCACCTGCTGGCACCGTAGGAATGGCCTCTGTCACCTTGGGATCCAGGCTTTGCACACCCTGAGGGCTCAGCACATGCGGGTGGTGGTGAGTCTGTCTCAACCCAGTCATTTCTGCCACTCAAAGCCCTGGTGACAGCTCTGGGTCTCTGTCAGCTCCCAGACCCATGAAAGCTGGGCAGCTGGTGTGGATGCCAGTGTGCAGGGCTGGGGCCTTGGCCACGTGGATGCAGCCCTGGCTCCTGCCCCATTGGTCCCCTCTGCAGTCTGAGTGCCCATTTGTTCCCTGACAGCAGCAAGCGGGAAGAAACAGGCAGCCAAGTCGAAAGAGGAGCTAGCTCAGGAAAAGAAGAAGGAGCTGGAAAAGCGTCTGCAGGACGTCAGCGGGCAGCTGAGCAGCAGCAAGAAACCGGCCCGGAAAGGTACCGCCTGCGGCCGCCATGCCCCCTCTCTTTGGTGGGGGTTGGGGGTGTCAGCAGTAGGGGTTTGAGCATCAAGCAGGCCCACGTCTGAGTGTGGCTCACCTGATGAGCTCCGTGTTCTTAGATGAGCTCTTGAGCTCCTGAAACCGCGATTTCCTTGTCTGTCACTCGGGGGTCACACCCCAACCCTGCAGGGAGGTGTGCAATGTGGGGGGGGTGTGAATACACCCCGTTCCGGGGCACCGTAGACAGAGGACCCCCCAGGAGAGGGCTCTTGTGGGGCTCGACCGGGCAGCCCAGCCCCTAGGCAGTGAGCTTTCTGACTGTTCCCTGGCAGTGGCAGCAGTTCACAGCAGGCTGAGGTAGCAGAGGTGGGAGGCCCAGCCCCATGCCTGCGCATTGCCAGGTCTTGTGTTCAGGGGAGCCAGAATTTGAGCCCTTGCCTCCGTCTTTGGACCCTGTTAGAGCACGCATCTCTTTCCCTGCCTTCCAGGACACACGTACGGGGGACAGTATGGTCCTGTCTGGACTGGAGCATGTTCTAGCTGGGGGCCATGGCCTTGCGACATGGTTTGCCCAGTATCGAGACATGGCCCATGACCCTGCCCACTGAAGGGGTCTGTCTCCTGTAGTCACTCTCGGGATGCCCCAGGCAGAGTAAGCGCTCCAGAAACACCAGCAGCTGGTGTTCTTGTTGTTGCTGCTGGTGGCCGTGTGACTGGCGGATATTTTTGATGGGCAGCTTTCTCGCATCCATGGTTTCCTGTTAGTAGTCTGCATTCATTTTTTCTGTCTCAAGTATATTCAGGTAGTCTTGTTGACCTGATGAATTTCAATAAATACTGATTAAACGACTGGGCCAGGAAATGGGTGGATCGTGGCATGCGGTGTGGTGGTGTCATACTGGCATGGACGACGTGCCGCCAAGCAGGTCAAGGAGCGGGTGTGCAGAGTGCATCTCCCTGTCCATGTCTCCACAGAGAAACCCGGCTCAGCACCCTCAGGGGGCCCGTCCAGGCTCAGCAGCAGCAGCTCCTCCGAGTCTGGGAGCAGCAGCTCCAGCGGGTCCAGCTCCGACAGCAGCGACTCAGAGTGAACTGGCTTCGGACAGAACGGGACAGATGGATGTCGCACACGCCGAGACTCTGCCGTACCCCTCTGTGGTTCATATACTACTTTTGTTCCATGGTGTGCAGGTCTGCTTCTTAATTCAGTGTTATGATATCTTCCAGTTTTTGCTTTCATAGGTCAGAGATCTATCTTGTGTGTGCGTTAGACTTGATGAGAAGGTGTGAACTCTGCAGAAAGTCTCTTCGTCGTCACTGAATTCAGTCACTTGGAGATGACAACTTCACATGCTAACCGATGACCCCAGAAAACTGTGTGAGATTCGTACTGAAGAACCTTGTGGAATCCCTTTGCTTAGACCCAACCTGGTCGACAGCTCAAGAAAGCATTTTTTCCAAGGAAATGTCTCGGCCCTGGGTACTGTATTTGAAAGCTGTTAGCTTTGTCAACATGCATCGTCCTTGTCATGTGGGCCCTGAGCTCTGACCCTCGTGTCTGACGCGGCCACCTCTTTCTGGAGGGGCGGAGGACAGATGTGCCTGCTTGTGGGGACCAGGCTGGGCCTAAGCGAAGGGTTGTCACAGCCCCAGCCCAGAGTGTGGAGCCCTTGTGGGGGTCGGGTGGGATGTGAGTTCTCCGATCGTGGTGATGTCAGGAGCTCCTCGGAGGGAACAGAGCGGCTGTGTGTGCAGCCTGCAGGTTTCCATACACTGAAGCTTTTACCTCAACTTTAAAAAAAAAAAAAAGAAGAAAAGATTTTTAAAAAAAAAAAAAGGAGACTTTTTTTGTAAGGTTCGGCAATTTTCTACGGAAGTCCAGCCCGCTGTGAGTCCCCGCCTGGCTAGCGCCGCCCCTGCTGCTGCTGCTGCTGCGCCCTTGGGAACCACTTCCCGAGCTTTTGTGTATATAAATAGTTATTTATTAACATCATTGGTCATTTTTTAAAAAAAAAAAATAAGAAAAAACCGCAGAAGAAATGCATTCACACAATCGCAGAGATGCAGGCCTTGTCAGTGGTGTGCCGGGCCCGGGTCCTGTCTGGCGGCGGCCTGTCGTCTCCAGGTGCTAACTCCTGCCACCGCGCGGTGCTCACCCACATCTGTGTTCGCGCGCTCGCCCCTGGGTTCGCTGGGTTTTTTGGTTTTTTTTCTTTGTGGTTTTTTTTTCTTTTCCATGTATGAAACTTGGAGGCTTACAGGTATAGACAGCTTTCAGCTACAGCACATTCTAATTTTTTATTTTGTTTAGTTCTTTTGTATTCACTTCTGGTCTCTTTAAGACTGTTTTAAAAGAAATCGATTTAGGGAACCCCAGTTATATAATATAAACTTTGTAATCTGAGAGAAAAAATGTATAGTAAATCTAAGTCTTGATTTTTAACTTTCTATTGTAAAAAATAATAATATACAGAGTTTAATAGAAGGTTATGTTTTGGTTTTGTTTTCCCAGAGGCTGCCATATGGCCTTTGAGTGCGGGGATGCCCCACACTGGCCCACCAATGAGCATGGCGGCTTCGGCCAGGAATGCCAGGGTTAGCTTCCCGGGCTCGTGGGTGGGCATGCCTGCCCCATGCCAGCCTCCAGGGGCCTGGCCAGGCCCTCCCCAGCCTGTCTGTCCTCAGGGGTAGAGGAGTCTCTGGACCCCAGGAGGATTCCCTCCCGGAGACTGGCACGGTGCTCCCCGCTCACGCGTTGTCACAGTTAGCCCGGAAATGACTGAAACCAGGCATTCTCCCGGACCTGGGCGTGGGGGAGCCTCCAGGCAGACGCTGGCTATGGAGCCGTGGTGTCGTCTGTCCTGTATGGTGGCCAGTGCTTTCTGCCAGCACTTCTGGATGGATAGAAGGACTATCATTAGTACCCTAATACATGGTGATTTAAAAAAAACAACAACATAAAATTGATTCAGAGTCCACTGGCCCTTACAGATGTAGGTACACCCTTACTGGAGAGGGGGCTCTGATGAGGAAATGCTGGTCAGTTACTACTTTTTAAATTGCTGGTAAGTCTGACACTTGGTGAGTTTTCAGCCAGTTTGTTAAACTTTTAATTAAGTTTTGTTTATAATAAAAATATAAATGGATTTGAAAGTTTCCATTTTTTAAAGTTACCCTTGTTTTTCAAAGGTATTTTCTAAACAGATCGTTAATGGACTATTTAAACCGAATTTAAGGAATTCACACACGACAGTGGACAGGTCTTCACGCAGGCTGGTTGGTAACGTGCTGCCAGCACAGGGCTGGGTGATGCGCACACCTTAAGCTGGGGGTGCCTGGGGATGGGGGGCGCTCCTTGAAATGTCCCTCCAGCCACAGGGCAGTGAGGCACGTGCCGCCTGTGTGAGCTGTCAGGAGCAGCCGGCTGTGGGGCAGCGCAGCAGGAGCGTCGTGGGGCCATTCCTTCTCGGCTGGTTCTCTGTGATGGTGGCGTTGGCTCGCCTCTGCTCCTTTCATCTAGAAAGAAGCCACTGACCCTGACGGCCCACCGAGGGTACACTGAGCAGCCGCATTGGTGCTGTCACTTTTTTAAGGCTTTCTGTCCAGACTTCAACACTGGTTTCTTTTCAGAGTTTCGAAGGATTGATGACTTCCTCAGCGCCCTCGCCGGCAGGCTGAGGGTGACAGTCACGTCCACGTCTTCTATACTATTAGAAGGCTGCGGTGATTCAATTAGATTGTCCCACTGCTGAGACCTGTAGGGCAGCTTCTAACATGCTTTTTTCAAGGGGAGAGGAGCAGTGACAAGTCGTGTGTCGGAATTGGATTTGAGAACGCTCTGAGTGACCCCTGGAGGCCAAGGGGGCAGGCTTCGGGCGTGAACTGAACTCCAGACCCCTCTTTGTGTTGGGCGGTGTCATCTTGCTTACAAACTGTAAGACACATTTTCTTTTGTGTTTGTTTTTTTTGTTGTTCTTTTGCAGCACTCACGCCTCTGACAGTCTTTTGGGAAACAGTAACACCCACATACAGAATTTGTCACATCCAGAGTAGCGCTGTTTCTTAATACTGGCATAACGCTTCCAGGAAGGTTTTCTTTTTTATATTTAAAGTGTTACTTTTCTGTATGATGTGCATGCAAGTTTACCGTAACTTTTCTTAAACTTTTTAGTGCCGTTTCTAGTATATTCCTGTAAATGTCAGTTACTGAAAATGAGTCCAATGTAAGTAGTTTAGCTTGTTTATTGCAATGCTGGCCTCAACACAACAGAATAAAAATGGTAGAAAGTACTCTTTGATGTTTCTGGTAATCATGGACCCTTCTCCTGGGGCATTTGTTTTGTTTTCATAATAAAAAGCAAAAAAAAAAAAAAAAAAAAAAAAGGACTCTTATTTTGCATTTTCCTGTGCTTTCTGTGGGGGCTCCCAGCCTCTCTCCTGGAGCCTAGAAATGTCTGGAAGCACCTGGTCTGGAACAGCCTTCACTGGTCCACAGTGAGGGTGCTGAGCTCCCCACACTTGACATCCTGTAACCCTTGGCAAAAACACCCAAAGCATCCAAAAGGGGTCCCAAAAAACCATTTAAAGGCAGAATGCAGTGGCTCGTGCCTCTGATCTCAGCACTTTGGGAGGCCGAGGCAGGAGGATGGCCTGAAGCTAGGAGTTTGAGGCTGCAGTAAAGCCGTGATTGCATCACTGCACTCCAGCCTGGACCACATCTCCCAAAAAAAATAATAACCAAACCATTAAGTAGCCCTTGTCCTGTGCCCTGGCAGGATGAAGGGAGCATCATTTCTGGCCTCGCTAGGAAGCTACGATCCCCTTTACTGACAGTTCATTGGTTCCCTGGAACAAGCTGCCCTCTTCGAGACGGCCAGGTTCTGTGCTCTTCTAGTCGACCTGGCCACTTGTCCCCTCCCTCTGCACCTCAGTCCATCCTGAAGTGGCTTCCTGTGATGCGCTCAGTCCTAAGGGACATGCAAATAAAATCCCAAAAGCAGATTTTCATAGGTTTAACTGCCAGACTGCAGAGGCTGGCGTGCAGCACGGCTCGCTGAAGAAGGACAGCTCTGGAACTAGGCCTGGAGGAGACATTCCAGGGGAGAAGATTCTGGCTGGGCCCACGTCTGGGCCTGAGGACCTGTCCAACTCGACCCCAGATGGAGTCAGGGGGCACGGTGTCACTCTTGGCCAGATTGTGACCCTTATCCAGACCAGCCTCCTTGAGGACGGACATGGGGCCTTGTCCGCCCCAGGCAGATGGTGTCTTCCTGCAGCCTAAGCAGCTTAGTGCCAGCTGGCTTGTGCATGGCCCACACGCCCTGACCCCTGCAGAGACTGGCCCTTGAGCACACATCCTCCCAGTACTGCACATGACCTCAGATCCCATTCTGCGTGTCAGCGCTGCCTCCTATGCTTGGGGTCAACCCCGCCACAACCCATCCTCGGGGGAGTCCGGTGCGGTGAGAAGGTGGCCCACAGGCATTCCAGATTTGCCTCTGGAGTTTGCTTTCTTCCCAGGCAGGACTTAAACTGAAGAACTAAAAAGATGTAGACAAACCCTACCTAGTGGATGTGGAGTGCTTCCTTGGCAGGCCCGCCTTGCTGTGGGTGTGTCAGCTAGCGGGGCAGGTCCTCCAGCCCCGTGCTTACTCTGCAGCTCCATGCAGCAATCCTGGAAGTCTGACTTCAAACCTCCCAGCCGCAGGCTGCAAACAAGCCAGGAATCTCTCAGAAAGGACTCGGGCAGTGCAGGAGGCTGCTGCCGACCAGGCCTCTGGCAGGATGTTTGGGGAATGCACTGTGACCCAGCAGTTCCACTTCTAGGATGTTTGCGAATGAACTTGCACAGCTGCAAAGAGAAGCACCAACAGAGTACAGGCACATTCAGAACATGCTGTTTGCACAGATGACAACTTCGACACCGTCACTGCCCATCTGTGGACTCACGGGAGAGTCAGAGGTTAAAAGCATGAAGTGGGCCGGGTGCAGTGGCTCACACCTGTAATCCCAGTACTTTGGGAGGCAGGCATGTCACCTGAGATTGGGAGGTCGAAACCAGCCTGGCCAACATGGTGAAACCCTGTCTCCACTAAAAATACAAAAATTAGCTGGGCGTGGTGGCAGGCACCTGTAATTCCAGCTACTCAGGAGGCTGAGGCAGGAGAATCGCCTGAACCCAGGAGGCAGAGGTTGCAGTGAGCTGAGATGGCACCATTGCACTCCAGCCTGGGCAACACAGTGACTCTGTCTCAAAAAAACAAACAAACAAAAAAGCATGAAGTGAATGCCCAGTCTGTACAGTTGGGCAAGAAAGAAAATGGCAGACACAAGAGGCATGGTACAGGAGGACGCCGTCAGAATCACGTGACCGTGTGCGCACACCGAGGAGCTATGGGACACGTCCCCAGCTGCCGGCCAGCTTCTCCCCAGGGAGAGCACTTTTGCTTTGCTTTATGCCTTTCTGTATTGCAGTTTTTAGCAATCAATTAGATATTACTGCTATAAAAAATGGGAAGCCAGGTAGCATATTATGAACAAGGATAAAAATAACATGAGGAAGGGGAGTAATGTATTAAAGGATGTTTATTTAGAAAATAAAAATTAGCTTTGACAAGAGACACCTGCACATCCGTGTAGCCAAGGAGATGTCAGAGCAGAGGGTGACTCCTTCATGGAGACTGAACACACAGGTGGCCAGCTGTGGCAGCGACAGTGAACACACGTCAGTGGCGGCCTGGGGGCAGAGGCTGACTGCTTTAAGTCTGATGGAGAGCCTGCCTCACTCAGCCCTGTTACTACGTGGAAATCACTACGCCACACATGTGCAACTTACAACTGTCAGGTTTCCTGAATGTGTTTTGGAGGCACTGGCCGGTGGGCCGCAAATGCTTGGAAGCTACCATGATGCTTCACACAGGACGATCATTTTGGTAACTCAAAATATAAATGCGGGCTTGGTGCGGTGGCCCACGCCTGTAATCCCAGCATCATGGGAGGCTTGAGCCCAGGAGTGTAAGAACAGCCTGGGCAACACAGGGAAACCCTGTCTCTATACACAGTAGTTCGCCTGGAACCACAGCTACCTGGGAAGCTGAATTTGGGAAGCCCAAATTCACCTGAGCCCATGAGATCGAACCTACAGTGAGCTGTGATCGTACCACTGCAGTCCAGCCTGGGCAACAGAGTGAGACCCTGTCTCAAAAAGCAAAAAACAAAATGTAAGTGCGACAAAGCTCCCGGTGAGATGCTGCTACTACTCCGCCATTTATGCTAAAAACAAAAAACTAAAACCTATACAAACTTGAAAAGGTGGTTTATAACGGGAATGGGAGGGTTACTCTTGGCTTGGTTAAACCAAGCATCTAGCAGTGCCCAGGCCTATGCAGTCCCTAGCAGCACCTGGAGAATTTGAATGTCACAACAGCTGACTACAGAGGGGACTCTAGAGGGGAAGTGTCCTGTGCACCAGTCACACCGCGGCTGTGCTGAGGGACTCAGGGGCAGATTCTGTGCTGCTTGGGTTCTTACGCCACAGTTTGATCTTCACATTCATTATTCAAAATCTTCCAGCAAGGATTAGAAATCAAGACAACTGAATGAAACCCAGGTCTGTTTTCCTGGAAGAGTGGTCCTGGGCTCAGGTGCTCACATGGGAATTACATGATTGCGCAAAACTTGGACTGCCCTGTGTCCCTGGAGACCTCGAGCTTGTTTTTGTCTCGGACCAAGATGGCCTCATTTCCATACTGTGAGTACCACATGCTTCGGCTCCTGCTCAGGTATGTCCCCGGGGGCACCGACTCCAACTTCTGCTGTTGCTGCTGCCAGATGAGCAAGGAGGTGTCCCTGTACCGGAGGCGGGCGTAGCCTTCAGACAAGGCCTTCTCTGCCAGGGGGACGCGGCCACTCATCCCCTCCCCTGTCTGGACTCCTGGGAATCCTGCTGTTCTGAGATGGCCCACGAGTGCACAGCTGCCGCAGGCTTCGCACTAAATTAACGGACAGCTTTCCCAGCTTTGGGGTTTAAGGATCCCTCATTTAATTGAATGGTAGAAGTTAGGAATTCAGGCCATTTGCAGGCAGCGTCCTCAGGAGGGTTGTGTGGCCAGGAAATGAGGCGGCCTCGCCATTCCGAAGACACCTGAGACCCATTCAGGGGACCGCACACAGGTCAGAGCAGCGCCCAGCCACAGCTCTTCCGGATGCACCTGTGTGGAATTGATAAGGACGTGGCGTCACACCCTGGGGGGTGATTCTGCCACCATGGCCTGGACCACTGAGCTTGAAGAGATGGATCCAGCGCCCTGAGGAAGGGACATGGTGGCCCCAGACGCAAGCTGCAAGGAGCTCCGGTGGCACGCCCTGCACGCATCTGTCCGAGCCGGCTTTCAGGGCAGCGGCTGTTCTGACCAACCCTGGGGATCCGGCCCCAGCATCTGTTCAGGTCTCGTCTCTCCCCAAAGATGCTGCTGCAAAGGAACGAACGTGCAGTGAGGCGAGGGGAAGTCAAGCGCCCCCGCAGCGGCGGCAGCCTACAGCGCAGCATCAACTGTCTGGGGCTCAGCGGCCTAGATCGAGCTACTTACGTCCCGTGGGGCAGCCTGGGAGCTGGGTGGGGAGTGAGACGGGCGCCCAGTGCCAGCTTTTTCAGTCACTGGGCGGTGCTGGGGAGGCTGCTTGTTGGGGCTTCAGGGTCTCCATCTGTGAAACAGGAGCCAGCGGCGCTCGAAAGGGCGCGGGTTCTCGGCGACGCCGCCAGGCGTCAGCCCCGGGACCGGAAGGAGCCCCCAGGGCCGCCTTTCTGCTCCGAGCATCCAGCTCCCGGGAAGCCCCTGGACCCAAACAAAAACGATGTCAGGAGAAAACGAACAGGGAAGCATCGCAGCCCACTCCCGAACGCCCTCCCAGCTGCGCAGCGTCAGGGACCTCCTCTCCTGGGATACCCGCGCCGGGCCAGCCTCAGCGTCCCGAGCCCCCATCGCGCGTCCCCGCCGCCTGCACGCACCCTGGGGCCCCAGTCGCATGGCCCGCGGCCGCCATCCCGGTGCCCCGGACCCCACGCGCTCTGGGTCGCCCCATCCTCCAGTCCCCTATCGTCCGCCCGCATCCCCAGGTCCCCCACGTCGCCCGCCCCAGTCACCGCGCGTCGTGAGCCTCGGAGACGCGGGCAGCGGGGCGAGGCGCTGCAGCGCTCCCAGGGCGGGGCCTGGGGCCGCGGGGCCGTGTCTCCATGGTAGCGCCGCAGGCCTGGCGAGCCGAGCGCAGAGGCTGGGCAGGCGGGTGCGACGAGCCCGAGCCATCGATCGCTCCGGGAGGCCAGGCCGGGCCCGTCCCGAGTAGGAACTGGAAGAGGAGGAGGTGGGGCTGGAGGAGGAGGGGCTGGATGGTGAGGGTCTGGACGAGGAGGAAGAGGGGCTGGAGGAGGAAGGGCTGGAGGAGGAGGGGCTGGAGGAGGAGGGGCTGGAGGAAGAGCTGGAGGAGGAGGGGCTGGAGGAGGAGGGGCTGGAGGGAGAGCTGGAGGAGAAGGGGCTGGAGGAGGAGGGGCTGGAGGGAGAGGTGGAGGAGAAGGGGCTGGAGGAGGAGGGGCTGGAGGAGGAAGGGCTGGAGGAGGAAGGGCTGGAGGAGGAGGGGGCTGGAGGAGGAGGGCTGGAGGAGGCTGGAGGAGGAGGGGACTGGAGGAGGGGCTGGAGGAGGAGGGCTGGGGAAGAGCTGGAGGAGGAGGGAGGCTGGAGGAGGAGGGGCTGGAGGAGGAGGGGCTGGAGGAAGGGCTGGAGGAGGAGGGGCTGGAGGAGGAGGGGCTGGAGGAGGAGAGGCTGGAGGAGGTCTGGAGGAGAAGGGGCTGAAGGGAGGAGGGCTGGAGGGAGGAGGGGCTGGAGGAGGAAGGGCTGGAGGAGGAGGGGCTGGAGGAGGAGGGGCTGGAGGAGGAAAGGCTGGAGGAGGAGGGGCTGGAGGAGGAGGGGCTGGAGGAAGGGCTGGAGGAGGAGGGGCTGGAGGAGGAGGGGCTGGAGGAGGAGAGGCTGGAGGAGGGTCTGGAGGAGAAGGGGCTGAAGGAGGAGGGGCTGGAGGAGGAGGGGCTGGAGGAGGAGTGGCTGGAGGTGGAGGAGCTGGAGGAGGGGTTGGAGGAGGAGGGGCTGGATGTTGAGGGTCTGCGCGAGGAGGAGGAAGGGTTGGAGGAGGAGGGGCTGGAGGAGGAGGAGGTGCTGGAGGAGGAGGAGGGGCTGGAGGAGGAGGGTCTGCACGAGGAGGAGGAGGTGCTGGAGGAGGAGGAGGAGCTGGAGGAGGGGTTGGAGGAGGAGGGGCTGGATGGTGAGGGTCTGCGCGAGGAGGAGGAGGGGCTGGAGGAGGAGGAGGAGGGGCTGGGAGCGGAGGAGGGAGGAGGGTTTGGAAGAGGAGAAGGGGCTGAGGAGGTACTGGAAGAGAAAGAGGAGCAGGAGCTGCAGGAAAACGTGGAAAAGGAGCTGGAGGAGGAGGAAGAGAAGGAGTGGGGACGCCCACAACCCTGTTAGTAAGACGCTGCTGTACTGTATGGCCTTTACCATCTTGGTGGTTTTCCAATTCTGCTTGTGTAGTTACTTTTGCCACTGCTGTTACTGTTTCTGTTAGCATTCTTACTCCCAATAATGGATATGATTATTTTTAATTAATTAAATGTCTGGGCATACTATCTCAAAAATAGGTCTTGAATTTCTCCATCTCACCCAACCAAGCCAGGCCTCTATAGTACTCATTTGGGCTCCTCAACAGCCCCATGAACGCGAGATCTACTTCCTTTTTCACTCCACCTCCAATCATACTCCAATAACACTCTTAGTATCTACCCCTTTCCCCTAATTTTATGGTTTTCTCCAATGCCAATTAAGAAAACTAGCATAATGGAGCCTGGTGTGGTGGCTTACCTCTGAGTCCCACCTACTTGGGAGGCTGAGGCAGGAGGATCCCTTGAGCCAGGAGTTCGAGTCTGCTGTGAGCCATAATCATGCCACTGCACTCCAACTGAGACGAAAGACCAAGACCCCATCACTAAAAAAACAGAAAAGAAAATGAGCATAACAGACATCCAAGGAGGATGCTTAGTGTGAGCACTAAGCCCACAGTTGTGGAACGCACATTCTTTTTTTTTTTTTTTAAGAGGGAATCTTGCTCTGTCACCCAGGCTGGAGTGCAGTAGCGCGATCTCAGCTCACTGCAACCTCCGCCCCCCAGGTTCAAGTGATTCTCCTGCCTCAGACTACAGGTGCCCGCCACCACGCCCAGCTGACTTTTGTATTGTTTTTAGAGACAGGGTTTCACCATATTGGCCAGGCTGGTCTCGAACTCCCTACCTTGTGATCTGTCTGCCTCACACTTTCTTTACAAGTACCTACACAGGTCGTTTAGCAAAACTGATCGTGTGCTGGACCATAAATAAGTTTCAACAAATTTGAAAGCGTTTAAATCTTACGTGATCTCTCAGTCTTCCGACCTGGGAAAAGAAAGCAACTGAAGATAAACTGCTTTCAAGAGACACACGAACAGGCCTGTATACAAACACCCATTGAACACTTTTGCCTCTATCTGGCCGGGTGCGGTTTTTCACACCTGTAATCCCAGCACTTTGGGAGGCCTAGGTGGGCAGATCACTTGAGGTCAGGAGTTCAAGACCAGCCTGGCCAACGTGATGAAACCCCGTCTCTACCAAAAATATAAAAAATTAGCCCAGTTTCGTGGCAGGTGCCCATAATCCCAGCTACTCAGGAGGCTGAGGCAGGAGAATCTCTTGAACCCAGGAGACGGAGGCTGCAGTGAGCTGAGATTGTGCCATTGCACTCCAGCTTGGGTGACAGAGTGAGACCCCATCTCAAAAAACAAACAAACAAAAAATTTGCCTCTGAGTTAATATAATTTGTTCTATGCCTTGAACTAAATAATTTGAATAGTTACCTGTAAGCTTCCTTTTCCTGTTGTTGTCAAAACTATATAGGACTCATATTTCCGTTCGAAACATTACTTATGTTTTGTTTTCCCGAGTCAAAAAACCGTTTTTCCTTTTGAGCTATTTTATAGCTACAACAATTAAGTAAAAAACGAAGATTACCTCTCTCTTTCTACCTGATATCTCCAGAGTCTGAAAATGACTTAAAATCCCATTGACCCCAATCTGATTTGATATCAAGCACCCTCCCTCTAGGCCCAGGGACGATTGCAGAAGAGGTAAACGCATGAGATTGTAAGGGCTGGTTTCGAGGGATAAAATGTGTTCAGATCCTCTGAATCAAAGATGGTTCACAAATACCTAAATAGCTGATCGCGCAATACATAAAACTTAGGATAAGTCAATTCTGTAACCTCACTTTCTGGATTTTGGTTTTTGGCTCAGCTCAATACATACAACTTAGAGATAAGTTCAATTTTCTTTTTTTTTCTTTTTTTTTTTTTTTTGAGACAGAGTCTCGCTCTGTCGCCCAGGCTGGAGTGCAGTGGCGCGATCTCAGCTCACTGCAAGCTCCGCCTCCCGGGTTCCCGCCATTCTCCTGCCTCAGCCTCCCGAGTAGCTGGGACCACAGGCGCCGCCACCACGCCCGGCTAGTTTTTTGTATTTTTAGTAGAGACGGGGTTTCACCGTGTTAGCCAGGATGGTCTCGATCTCCTGACCTCATGATCCGCCCGTCTCGGCCTCCCAAAGTGCTGGGATTACAGGCGTGAGCCACCGCGCCCGGCTATAAGTTCAATTTTCTAACCTCACTTTTTGGATTTTGATTTTTGGCTCTTATCTTGCACAAAAGGTTGAGGGTTTTTTTTGTTGTTGTTTTGTTTGTTTGTTTTGTTTTGTTTTGATTTTTTTGAGATGGAATCTCGCTCTGTGGCCCGAACTGGATTCGGCTCACTGTGACCTCCACCTCCTGGGTTCAAGCGATTCTCTTGCCTCAGCCTCCCAAGTAGCTAGGATCACAGGCATGTGCCACCATGCCTGGCTCATTTTGTATTTTTAGTAGAGACAGGGTTTCACTATGTTGGTCAGGCTGGTCTCAAACTCCCAACCTCATGATCCATCCGCCTGCGTGGTGACGGGCACCTGTAATCCCAGCTACTTGGGAGGCTGGAACAGGAGAATTGCTTGAACCCGGGAGGTGGAGGTTGCAATGAGCTGAGATCACACCATTGCACTCCAGCCTGGGCAACAAGAGTGAAACCCCGTCTCAAAAAAAAAAAAAAAAAAAAAGCTTTAAAAATAAAAAACCAAACAAATAAATCTAAGCCCCCCAGTGGACTGAACAGACCTCCTCTTGGCTAAGGGGACCCCAGAGAAACCTGAAAAACAGCATTCCTGGCCGTGACAAGAAGGAAGGCTGGACATGTCTCGTTCTCCCCTCTCCCTTTTGGAATTTAGGCACCACTGACCAGCATCATTAAAATAGAGGTCGTGAGATTGACAAAACAGAGTTTTTGTTTTGTTTTGTTTTGTTTTTTTGAGACAGAGTCATGCTCTGTCGCCAGGCTAGAGTGCAGTGGCGTGACCTTGGCTCACTGTAACCTCTGCCTCCTGGGTTCAAGCAATTCTCTTGCCTCAGCCTCCTGAGTAGCTGGGAATACAGGCGCCCACCACCATGCCCAGCTAATTTTTGTATTTTTACTAGAGACGAGGTTTCACCATGTTGGCCAGGATAGTCTCAATCTCTTGACCTGGTGATCCACCTTTCTCAGCCTCCCAAAGCACTGGGATTACAGGCGTGAGCCACCATGCCCAGCCAAAACAGACTCTTTATGGCAACAAGATACTAAATTCTAACCAGACCCTTGTATAGCATCACATGACAGATAGCAGACCCTGAAGGAAAGGAAAATATTTTACCCCAAAATACATTTCTTTTTTTTTTTTTGAGATGGAGTCTCGCTGTGTCACCCAGGCTGGAGTGCAGTGGTACGATCTCGGCTCACTGCAATCTCCACCTCCCAGGTTCAAGCAATTCCCCTGCCTCGGCCTCCCGAGTAGCTGGGATTACAGGTGTGTGCCTCCACGCCCAGCTAATGTTTGTATTTTTAGTAGAGATGGGGTTTCACCATGTTGGTCAGGCTGATCCTGAACTGCTGACTTCAGGTGATCCACCAGCCTCGGCCTCCCAAAGTGCTGGGATTACAGGCGTGGGCCACCATGCCCAGCCCCCAAATATATTTCTTTGACATATTTTGGAATGTCCCTGCAAAGCCGTCTTCTGTGGGGGAAATTTACATCTGTAAAGCATCTCCATTAGGAGCCTGGCCTTTCCTTTCTAGGCCATTTCTGGATTTAGGAGAAATTAAATGAAAGTCTAATACAGGGGGGTCCAACCTTTTTTTTTTTTTTTTTAAATACAAAGTCTCTGTCACCCAGGCTGGAGTGCAGTGGTACAATCTCAGCTCACTGCAA